ATTTTCCACAAATGTCTCTAATGTAAAACTTGCTTTCAATTTCTTTCTGACATAATCCTCTCTTCTATTTCCCAATGAATCTTGTTTTCAGCTTTCTAATGGGCATAAGCATCATCTCATCTGCAACACTGAACTCTTCCTTAGAGTAAAAATAATGCTTTCAGTTCACTTTGAGTTGTTGGAAATGAGTTTGCACTAAAAACCAGACAGCACACAGATGTGTCCTCACTGATCAAATCTGGAACAGGGTCATAGAGCACAATGTTTCTCTGCACAATATTTAAAGTTAAGAATCCTGACCTTTGCCTTCTAAGTAGCACTCTCACAGGCAAGTGCAAATGTGTCCTGATAGTCTACACATTCTCCACTGGATTTAAGTTGATTCTCTGGAAAAGACTTTCAAACACACTCTGTTTCATCATCAATGTGACAAAAATTAGTTACACAAAACACACTGAAAATTCAAAGCAGCTGAATGGAAGAGTCAGGGTTAGTCACAGTTTTCATTAGATAAGGCTCATAACTTTTTTAGGAAAAAGAAAAAAAGAATTTAGTGAAAAACTATGTCTTAAAATGTCAATGCCATGTGATTAGCCAGCCCATACCCCACAGGAATTCAACACAACTACTTCAAAGTGGCACCTGAAATAGTGGCAAACTCCTTTTTTTTTTTTTTAACCATGAAAACATATCATCAAGATGGAATCTATCTACACAAAACTGATGACGTATGCATTGATGAACTGTTCCCAAGAGGTAAAAAGCAAAAAAGAGGGCCTATGTCTTACTCAGCTTTCTTACTCTAACACCTGATGACGATGGTGATAATCACAAAGATCACACTTCTTCCATGTCTTACTATGTGTCTGACCTGTCCTAAGAGCTTGCAGTGTATCATCTTATGTAACCTTCCTAAGACCCAAATCTGTCAGGTGAATACTATTTTACAGGTGAGGAAATGCAAGCGTGGAGAAGTTAGATAACTTCTCATGGTCCAAGATCAACCAATTGTGAAGCAGAAGAGGATTCAAGCCACGAAATCTTATATAAAGCTGAAGCTATTAACACAAACTAGTAATAGGTAAGTGAAATATATTTGTTGTTTAAAAGTATTTGACCAAAGGCTTTTATCGTCATGCACACTTTTTAAAAAGCACGCAAAATATACATACATATCATGTCTTTGTTCCCACTCATCTAATCAGTGAAGGTATCATTAGGCACACGCAACAGACTATAAGCAAGCTGAGAACAGAAAACCTATTTTTAAAATTTCTTTAATGCTTTATAGTTTTATTCAAAAATAACAGAGCCAAAAAGTCTCAGGCTAAGGCTCCTTCAAAGGAAAAGGAAATCAAAGCAGGTAGGACAAAGACGGTCAGGGTGAGCTGCTGACCAAAGTATGTCCCAGATGAATATTCTCCCCTGTTAACTGTTCTGCAGTGACGCCCTAGCACTGCAGTGCTGCCAATATGAAGTCTGAGCTCATGAGGACCATGCTGCAAAAACCAGAGGAAAATATTTCCTTTTCTCTGCTGATATTATTCATAACAGGGTCCTACTACAGGAGGTTTGAGAGCTCTCTGAATTTGGGAAAAAGCCAACTAAACCACTTATTGTTGGATAGGGTGCAATAGCTTAGTCAATAAATGCAGTTTATTTTAGCCCTTAGTCCTTGGAATGGTTAGTGTCTGTTAGAAAAGGCAATCATAAATATTTCTCTGATGCTGAGAAAACATCCATTGCCTAACCTCCTTTGGCCAACGCAAGTATCATCTGAATTACCTTGAGTCTGACTGCTATATACAGTTATACGAAAAACTCAGACCATTCCGTGAGCTACAGAGGAAAAAAGAGAAAGAAAATCACACACTTCTAAGACAGAATTTTAAAAATGATACATTCTGGAAAGAGATGGGAAAAAAATTACTCTTTGGTGTCAACTGACCTTTCTGCAGAAGATAAATGCTGCATGGGGAGAAAAATCTACCTGAGTAACGGAGCAGCAGCTTCGGCAACTTCTAGTACCTAGGCACCTTCCCTGCCATTATATAACCAAACCATGGCCTAAATAGGCCATCGTACTGTATGTCAACAGCTGTTAGGCACATCCAAGTTGTCAGCATTTGAGAACCCCTTCCAAAGTGGATTCAGATAAGCAGGGAGCAGGCCAAAATATGTTCACCCTGCACACAGAGCCCATGACAACTCCTTATGAATTAAGCTTCACTCCCTGTCCTCAGAGTAATTCAGAGAGCAAGAGATAGGGTACTTGTAACTGTAACTAGGAAATTGCACACTGTTACAGAAACACAAATGAATGCTGGTGTGGTCTCTTCACACATGCAACTCATTGTCCAAGCCATTTCAGTCTCATTCAAGACTCTGAATATTTCCATACATAGGATTGCACAACTGCACACCACAAATGATCAAAGATAAAAACCAACATAAACAGTGACACCCGTTTATAAACAAGCCAACGTTTAAAGTTCTGCAGTCCTAAAGGATACCAAAACTCTCAGTTGAAGAAATAGGCCTCCTCTCCCCCAACCCCCAAACACACACACAGGAAAATTAGAAAGCGGGCAGACCAGCCATAATTAGGTACTGGCTTTGCTGACTACTGAAGACAGAAATGTCTCTTTTGTATATAAAGCCAAGAATCAACTGTTTGCAATTACATTTACAAAAACACTCAACCCTGTCTGTCATAGATTTTTTAATCAATATTTTGATGTATCCAAGGGCTAGAAGATTCAAAATTCTTTAAATCACAGAGACCATAAGCCACACAACCAATTAAGTTCACGGAGTCCATCCCCCAGAGGTCAGAGCAAAATAATCACAGGAGCACAATGTGATTGCTTAGTGGAGGGGGTGGGGAAAATATCAAAACAAGGAACAAGGCACACTGTTTGTAAATAGAAGTTTGGCTTGGCTAACAGTAAATGGGACTGGCAACAGTGGGGGGTGAAGAGATCCACTCATCTTGGGAGTCTGCTCCCCTCCAGGGTGGTCAGTGATCCCTGGACTTTGGTATATCTCATTCAGCTCTGACCTGCAAACTAGAGGCCTTCTGATAAAAACTGACCCCCACCCTCCAGAAGGAAAAAAAAAAAAAAACTGAAGGGGCCCTCCAGAGGAAGTGAAACTGACCAATCAATGTGCCACAGCCACCCTCCCTGCCACCCTGGTAAGAAAGGCCCCTTGTAGTCTTTGACAGAAGGAGGGGGGGGAAGGAACTTCAAGGTTGCAAGAGAGCAGGAGAGAAGGCCTAAATAAGTCACTGGCCTCTGAAAACAAGTGATTGCCATAAAAGCCAAAATAACAAGGCAGGTCGTGATAACCAGAGGCTGGGCTGAGGGGAACTGATGTGGCTTTGGTAGGAAACAGCAGCAGCCATCGGCTCCTTCAGCCGTCAGGTTGAGGGAAAACACAACTGCAGTTTTCAATATATGAATGACTACATGAAAAGTATTCATTCAAGTGCGATACCGAGCAAAGAAAAGGTGCAGCTAAGATGGGCTTTGTGGGTTCCACCAAAACCGAAAGATGCCTCCTGATGTCAACACTACCAATGAAGAAAGTACTGGCAGTGTTTCCATCAAACACGCAATTTCTCATGTATACATACATGGCTTCCTAACTGACCTTGGCCAATTTCACCACTCCGGCTCCAAGAATCCCTGGGGAACCTAAGGGCCCACGGAATGGGATCCTCCCGCGACTAGTTCCTCAGTCGCAAGCTTTCCCAAGCCACTGAAAGCCCACCCTAGGTTCTACAAAGCCCACAGCTCCCGACCCTCCAACAACTAAAAATAACCAGCAACCCAGCGCTCCCCAATGGTTTAACCCCTGATTTCCCAGGGCCACCGGAGACCTGCCCGCCTCTCCCCTCGGGTCGCTCTCCCCGGACCCCTTCCTAGGGACAAGAAAACAATTGTCCTCCTGGCCCCATTTTCTGCACGGCTCCTTGCAACAGCCGTGTCCCCCCAAAGGCCCCCACGGGCCCCCTCTCTGCAGCCTCGGAGGAGCCAACGCGCGCTCCCACCTCTGGCACCAGGTGCCAGGCTCCGCGTCGCGCCCTGGACCCTGCACCGCTACGCGGCCGGCCTCGCTCTCCTCCGAGCCGGTCTGCCAGTCCGGCCCCCGTCTTCCCCATCCTCCTGGCCACACTTCACACGCCCCTGCTCTCACTCCCCAGGATTTCCTAACCGCTGGTTCCACACTCCTCTGGGCTTCCAGTCGCCCGGCCCCGGAGAGTTCCAGCCCCTTCTTTCCAGCCAGCCGCCCACCGCCCCCTACAGCGCCCGGCCGACCCTCCCCACGCCTGCCCCTCAGCCCCTCTCTCGGGAGCCCGTGTTTCCCACCGCCTCACGCAGCCCCGAGCCGTGCCCCGGCTCCCCAACGCTCCCCGACACGCCGAGCCCAGCTCGCGGCGCCCGCCGCTCAGCCGGGGGGTCGCGGGTCGCCCCGATCGTCCCGGGCCGCGCCGCCCCTCAGCCGCCCGATCCCGCGGCGCCGGTACCTTGGCCTTGGTGACGAGGTGCGTGGCCCGCTTGACCACGGCGAAGTTGCCCTTGCCGATGGTGCGGTCGATCTCGTAGTAGCCGATGCGAGCGGGCATCGGCCCGCGGGAGGCCGGGGCTGAGGGACGCGGCGGGCCGGCCGACGGGGGCACAGCGGCGGGGGCAGCCGGGGGCCCCGGGGCAGGCGGAGGCAGCAGGCGGCCCGCCGGCCCGGCTCCCCCCGCTCCGGCCCCGGCAGCCCCGCCACCTCCGCTCGCCGCCGCCGCCGCCATCTTGTTGTGCAGTGAAACCTCCGGGGCCGCGGGGAGCCGGCTGGGGGGGAGGGGGCACGGGGGGGGCGGGAAAAGGAGGGGGGCCCGACGGACGTCACTCCGGGAGGCGGAGCGCCCGCGCGCCGGGCGCCCGGCGCCATGGCAACCGCTCGTCACGTGCCGACGCGCGTCACTGCCCAGAGCCATGGCAACCGTGACCTCACCGGGGAGCTCGACCTTCCCGCCTGGGCCCGGGTTCCTTGGGTGCCGGCTCCAGGGTGCCCCCCTCCGGGGAGCAGGCAGAGGGAACCTCAATCTGGAGGCTTTCCGCAGCGCTGCCCGCCTGCGGGAGCCTGACGCCCGACCCGCAGCCAAGTCCCGCCGTGCCTGGAAGGGCCAATGTGACCCCGACGGTGACCTCTGTCCCAGTTCAACCGCCACCAACCTCCCTTAAAGCAAAAGTACTTCCTCATCACCAAAAATACCAGCCTTGTCCCACTTTAGCCCCTGAGGCCACAAAGGCAGGAATAGCGAGGGTATTTAAGCAACTGTAACCAAGTTGGTAGCAAGGCAGGGGAGTTGTTTGGTAAAATTCCTTCCTCTTACAAAATCCAGCTCGCCCTGTGCGATCAATCGCGTTATCACTAAATATAGAGGGAAACCAGGATTTGCGTTTTCAAGGGCGGAGAAATCAGCCCAAATACGCACTCCAGTCCCGGGGTGGGTGAGGGCCAGGGAGGGTGTACGTCATTTTCCTTCCTACCACCCCCATCCCTGAACAGTTCTATAGCTACGTGTCTGTCAGTGTCTGCACGCTCTTGTTAACCCTGACGAAGCAGTGGTGCATTGTCTGGTAAGCCACGTCATCTTTAAAGACTAGCACGGTCTGTTGGGCAAAACACGTAAGTAAATAATAGAATTTAAAATTCCATCCATACTAGTAACTCTCCAAGGACATTAAAGGTGATCGGCTCTGTAACTTCAGCAATAAAACTCCTATCCCTTCTTCCCTCTGACATTCCACAGCCTCCGCTGGCTCCCAGGCTGCTCCCCCCCCCCCCTTTCTTAAGTAGATACACTTAGCTGCTTAAGGTGGGAGTGAAGGGGAGGGGAAGTGGGCGGTCAATATGAAGACGGTGTTCCCGCAGGCTAAGGAGGTGGAGGGAGGATTGTTGAAATGTGATTCCTGCACTCTATACTGATCCATTGCACTGTCTTTTGCAACCCTGGAACCATACTGTCAGGTCACTGCATGTACAATGTTAAAAACCAAAACCTACAGGGTTGCATATGTGTGAGAGGGAGCACAGGTGTGTATACTCTGCAACCAGGGAACATTTCCTGGTGCTTTGATTCCCCATCTGACTTTGAGACTAGGGTGGGACAGAAGTGGTGGCTGTTCCAAATTGCCAGCACAGTTAACACTAATTACCTTATTTAAAAGATATATTGATTGTATGTGAAAGGCAGAATTACAGAGAAAAGAGAGACAGAGAGAGATCTTCCATCCACTGGTTCACTCCCCAAATGGCCACAAGAGCCAGGGCTTCTTCCAGGTCTCCCACGTGGGTGCAAGGGCCCAGGCAATTGAGTTATCTGCTGCTGTTTTCCCAGGCACACTAGCAGGGAGCTGGATCAGAAGTGGAACAGCCAGGACTCGAACTGGTGCCCATATGGGATGCCAGTGTCAGTCACCAGCTCCTAATTGGCTTCTTCACTAACAAATAAGGATAAGGTTGAAGAGGACCTCGACTTCCTGCACTGATCATCAGCTGAACACATTCAACACCAGATAAATGGGGTGTGGCCAGCCACTCCTACACTTTCTGGGCCTTACCTGCCTCTCTCAGGGACTACAGCTTTGGCATCCCAGGCCTGTTTTACCTTTATTTTTTATTCATTTATTTGTTTTTTTGACAGGCAGATTTAGACAGTGAGAGAGAGAGACAGAGAGAAGGGTCTTCCTTCCATTGATTCACCCCCCAAATGGCCGCTACAGCTGGCGCGATGCGCTGATCCAAAGCCAGGAGCCAGGTGCTTCTCCTGGTCTCCCATGGGGTGCAGGACCCAAGCACTTGGGCCATCCTCCACTGCCTTCCCGGGCCACAGCAGAGAGCTGGACTGGAAAAGGAGCAACCGAGACAGAATCCGGCACCCCGACCGGGACTAGAACCCGGGGTACCGGCGCCGCAGGCAGAGGATTAGCCTAGTGAGCCACGGCGCCGGCTACATTTTACTTTCTCACTGTTTCGGTGGGGTGGGGGGGGGGACTCAACAACAGCAACCTTATCTTTCACTCTGGAGGCTGCAGAACTGAAGCCCTGCTCCCAAGTGACTTTGCACTCACAGAGCATTCCTCCACTCACAGACAGTTGAATGACAAGTACGACAATGTGTGCCTCTCTTTCATCAAAAAACAAAACAATAAGGAGGACCTAGAAAATGGAGTACTGGTCCAAGTTCCAAAGAGAAGAGGCAAATCACCCTTGTCCCCTGATCTTGACCGGAGTGCATACCATGTGCTGTGCATTATACCATTTATGCTCCCTGGCTGCATGCATTCAGGCTAGTAGATGGTACGTCCAAGTTGTGTGCCTGCTGGAGAGCTCCCCGAAGAGTCTCCTTGGGTGGAAAGAATATAGAAAATTGAGAAGGAGACTAATCAGAGATGATTGGGGAAGAAAGGAAAATAGTTCAGATGTATAGATTTGATGTTTGTACATTTATTTGAGAGACAGAGACAGACAGCTCCTGTCTATTGGTTCCCCAGGTGGGGCAGGTCTGCATTAGCAGGAAGCAGGAGCCAGCGCCAGGAATGGAACTCAGCCACTCCAATATGGAATATGGGCATCTTAATCCAGTGTCTTAACTGCTAGGCCAAATGTCTGCCCCTAGATATATATATATATATTTAATAAAGATTTATTGAGTACCACAATTTAAATTAGGTTTGAGAAGAAGAGCTCATATTCAATAACAATAGCAATTTCTCAGGCACTATGCTAAACAGTTTCCATATCTGAACTCACTTAAATCCTTACCACAACTCTATGAGGTAGGTTATATAATTTTTAAATATTATATATATTTATTTATTTGAAAGGCAGAGTTACACAGAGAGAGAGGGAAAGATATCTTCCATTCTCTGGATCACTCCCCAAATGGTTGCAACGGCCAGCATTGGGTGGAGCCTGGAACTCCATCACAGTGTCTCACAAGGGTACAGGGACTCAAGCACTCAGGCCATCTTCTGCTGTTTTCCTACATGCATTAGCAAGGAGCTGTATGGGAAATAGAGCAGCCAGGACTTGAACCAACGTCCATATGGGGACACTTTCCCCAAGGTGGATTGTACACACTTTTTTTTTTTAATATTTATTTATTTACTTGAAAGAGTTACACAGAGAGAGGAGAGGCAGTGAAAGGCAGAGAGAGAGGTCTACCATCCGCTGGTTGGTTCACTCCCCAGATGGCCACAACGGCCAGAGCTGTGACAATCCGAAGTCAGGAGCCAGAACTTCTTCCAGGCCTCCCACATGGATGCAGGGGCCCAAGCACTTGGGCCATCTTCTACTGCTTTCCCAGGCCATAGCAGAGAGCTGGATCAGAAGTAAAGCAGCCGGGACTCGAAAGAGCGCCCATATGGGATGCTGGCATTGCAGGCAGCAGCTTTACCCACTATGCTATGGCGCCGGCCCCCACCCATTTTGCTAAGGGTGGGGTTAAGGGAATTGGCTAAAGTCATGGTTCAAGCCAAGGAAGCCTTCATCTGGAGCCTGAGATCTCCGCTCGTTGTAGCACAGTCCCTCGAAGGTAGAAGCCAGAGGGAAAAGAAGGCCAGGGTGACTGAGCTCAGTTTGGACCCAGGGAAGGAGCAGACTTAGGGAGTTTTGTTTTATTTTTAAGATTTATTTCATTTGTTTGAAAGGCAGAGTTACAGAGAGAGAGAGCGAGAGAGAGAGAGAGAGAGATCTTCCATCTGCTCATTCACTCCCCAAATGACTGCAATGGCCAGGGCTGGGCCAGGCCTAATCCAGGATCTTCTTCAGGGTCTCCCAAATGGGAGCAGGGGCCATCTTCCGCTGCCTTCCCAGGCCATCGGCAGGGACCTGGATCAGAAGTGGAGCAGCTGGGACTCGAACCAGCGCCCATATGAGATGCTGTGTAGCAGGCAGCAGTTTAACCGGCTATGCCACAGTGCTGACCCCTATAAAGTTCTTAAAAGCAGAGCAGAACAGGTAGTTGAAGCATGTGAATGAAACAGACTGCAAGGCTGAATGAAGTAGCTGTGATCACTTCACTTGCAAGTACAGCCCCTGAAGAGACTCTGCTTATTATGTAGGAGTATCACAGGCTAGCAGGTGTGTTCCTGCCCTGCTGCAAAGGAGAGGCTCCAGAGCCGAATTCCTGGACCCCGGGCAGTCCAAGGTGAAAGCAGTTAGCTACCAGCTCATCAATCAGCCACCAGCTCCAACACCTCCCTTCTGAGAAAGCAAAAGATAGATTCAAAGATGAAAAGGAGACATTTTCCAGGTGAATACTATTGTGTCTTGTTTCTAGAACTGGAAAACAGCCAAGGCGTTTTTTTTTTTTTAAAGAGTTAATGATTTATTTATATGGGAGGCAGAGTTACAGATAGAGAGAGGAAGAGACAGAGAGAGGTCTTCCATCTGCTGGTTCACTCCCCAAATGGCTACAACGGCTGGAGCTGGGTCCATCTGAAGGCAGGAACTAGGAGCTTTTTCCAGGTCTCCCACGTGAGTTCAGGGGCCCAAGCGCTTGAGCCATCTTCCCGTCTTCCCAGGCACACCAGCAGGGAGCTAGATCAAAAGGGGAGCAACGGGGACTTGAACTGGCTCCCATAGGGGATGCTGGTACCACAGGCAGAGGCTTAACTTACTATGCCACAGCACCAGCCCCACCAAGGCATTCTTGAAGGAGATGATGGAATCTTGGAGATTTCTAGAAGTGATACAAAAACTTCTTAGGACCTAAGTTCTGTCCTGAGAGTGATATAAGCAGTAGAATGTAACTCTTTAATGATTTTAAAGGCCTGCTTAGCCTGTCAGCAGCGATTGCAAAGAACACTGCAGCCTCACGATATTGCTCCATGGACTCTCAGAGCCGTGAGGACCTTGACGGAGGTCCAGCCCCTCTCACTTTACATTGGCCTGAACCATTACTGCTCTGGAAGAGCATTCAGTCAATACGGAAACCATTCAGAATTTCTGTATGCCATAAGACGTCATATGCTTATATATAATCACATGGTTATATACGATATATAACCCATGTGTGTTTATATGCTACTTATTTTCCAAACCAGGACATTACAAATTACAAATTCTAGGGATGGGCGTGTGATGTAGTGGGTAAAGCCTCTGTCTGCAGTGCCGGCATCCCATATGGGCGCTGGTTTGAGTCCTGGCTGCTCCACTTCTGATCTAGCTCTCTGCTATGGCCTGGGAAAGCAGTAGAAGATGGCCCAAGTCTCAGGCCCCTCACCTGTGTGGAAGACCTGGAAGAAGCTCCTGCCTCCTGGCTTTGGATTGGCGTAGCTCCAACGGTTGCCACCATTTGGGGAATGAACCAGCAGATGGAAGTCTTCTCTCTCTCTCTCTGCCTCTGTAACTCTGCCTTTCAAATAAATAAATCTTTAAAAAACACACACACAAATGATAAATTCTGCTGTCAGGGCACTCACTGGTGGACACTCATGGTCTTAACACTCCACATGCCCTAGTTCTCTGGGTAAGTTGTACATGTACCGTCTCTTTGTCAGGGCTGCATTCTGCATTACCGCCTCAGCCATGTGGCTTTTGCCCTCCTTCCTCTGCTATCCCAGGCTTACTTGTCAGGTGCACATGTTTCCCCAGGGTATCGAGAGCATACGATGACAAGTACCTAACCCCGTGTTGTAACACATCTCAGTGAGGGGGCTTCTGAGAAGCTAAATATGTTTTAAGTAAAGAATTTTCTGTTTAGCTTGCCTACATTTTTTTCCTTTCCTTTTTTTCTTTAATTTGTTTGAGAGATAGAGAGAGCTTCCATCCACTTGTTCATTCCCCAAATGCCAGCAATGGCCTGGGCTGTGCCCTCCTCCAAAGCCAGGAGCCAGAAACTCAATCTAGATCTTCCAAGTGGGTGGCAGAGACACAACCACTCAGGTTGTCACCTTCTGCCTCCCAGGGTCTGCACTGGTAGGAAGTGAATGGGGAGCCGGAGCTGGGATCAAACACAGGCACCTTGACAAGGGACATGGGCATTTTCACTGGTGTCTTAAGGCTGGGCAAATGCTCACTCCCACATTTTTCTCATTAATTTAACCATTCAAGCTACTACATAAACCATAAAAATTATTCTCTGTGTGTGTTCTAGGATATGGTGTACCCACTTTCAGATTACCATTATTCTTTTTTTTTGAAGATTTATTTATTTATTTATTTGGAAGTCAGAGAGAGACTGGTTCACTCCCTAAATGGCTGCAAGGCTGGAGCTAGGCCCATCCAAAGCCAGGAGCTTCTTCCAAGTCTCCCACGCAGGTGCAGAGGCCCAAGGACTTGGGCCATCTTCTACTGCTTTCCCAGGCCATAGCAGAGAGCTGGATCAGAAATGGAACAGCCAGAACTTGAACCAGCACCCATAGTGGATGCCGGCACTACAGGCGGCAGCTTTACCTGCTATGCCACAGCACTGGCACCACCATTATTCTTTAAATCATCCAAAACATCTTTATTGTGTATTTTTTAAAGGTTTTCTGCATTCTTTGATATGACTGTGTGATCATTCAGGATCAGTACCTTCCTTGGGTGAACATTCCTTTGGTCTTATAAGGCAAGTCACTGGGGAAATAGGTTTAGTAGAGAAGATAATTCACTGAGGCTTCTCAAGGCTAGGTATCCCTTGGGACCCTGAGAGCAATTCTTTAATATTTAATATTAATTGCAATATTTTAATATTGCAATTGATCTCTTTTTCCTAAATTTCAATTGTGGTATTTAACAAACATTCATGAAGATTTAGAGGTATTTGCATCCTTTTCTTTCCCTGGAATATGGAGATGTACCTGAGATTCTGGGAAGTCACAACACTTCACAGAACACAAAGGCCTACTTCAAATGTCACCTAGGGTGGGAGTTATCTGCCTGCTGCTGTGTTCTAACCCAGGGAACTGCATCCTTCCCCTTTTCCACTTTGGGAACTGCTCTGGGTTTCAGGTGCAGCCTTGCAAACAGCCTCCCATATCTTAGTAGGACAGAGGCTGGACTCTGACCCTGCGGAGGAGAGGGCTTTGCTTAGGTCTTCTACCAGCCTTTCTGGCTGTTGGCTAAGAACAACTGGTACTACTGGGATTGGTTGCTACAGGTAGATGACCTACCTTGATTTGCTTCACTTCCATGACAGTTTTACTCAGTGAAACTAGAAAATCCATCTTCCACCTCTTGAGGCTACAGGAAAGCCTCTCCCTTGTCTGCAGAGACATCTACTGGTCAAAATCCTAAAGTACATGGTGCCTAACTACATGCTTTTCTGTTCCACTCAGGCCTTCTAGTTCTTTCTATTGAAACTTCAGGCAACTGAAAACCACAAACCCAGATCAGGAGCCAGAAAGCTGGAATCGAAATGGAAGCTGACTCCAAGGAGCTGGATTACTTTATGACCAAATAGAAGGTACGGTGGAGTAAGCTCACAGAGTTCCTTGGATCATGCTATAGTTTTATGACACCCAAGGATGTCACCATTGATCCCCAGTGTTCCCATGGCATTTTTAAAAATTCTTAAGAATGATATTTTTTCTCTTTTTAAAACTTTTTTTTTTTGACAGGCAGAGTGGACAGTGAGAGAGAGACAGAGAGAAAGGTCCTCCTTTGCCATTGGTTCACCCTCCAATGGCAACCGCGGCCAGTGTGCTGCGGCCGGCACACCGCACTGATCCGATGGCAGGAGCCAGGTGCTTCTCCTGGTCTTCCATGGGGTGCAGGGCCCAAGTACTTGGGCCATCCTCCACTGCACTCCCTGGCCACAGCAGAGAGCTGGCCTGGAAGAGGGGCAACCGGGACAGAATCCGGCGCCCCGACCGGGACTAGAACCTGGTGTGCCGGCGCCGCAAGGTGGAGGATTAGCCTAGTGAGCCGCGGTGCCGGCCTAAAACTTATTTTTATTTAATTGAAATGCAGGGACAGAGACAGAGAGAGAGAGAGAGAGATCTCCCATCCATTCCCCAAATGCCCACTGCAGACAAGGCAGGACCCAGGCAGAAGCCAGGAGCCTAGAACTCCCTTTGGGTCCCCCACATGTGTGGCAGAGACCCAAGCAGTTAAGCTCTCAGCTACTGCCTTCCAGGATCACATTAGATAGAAGCTGTATCTAGAGTGGAGTAGCTGGGACTCAAACCAGGCGCTCTGATATGGGAGGCAAACATCCCAAGCAGTGTCACTGAGCCATATGCCAGGCCTCACTTCCATTTAGTTTTGTTTTATTTTTATTGTTTTTAAAGATTTATTTTATTTATTTGAAAATCAGAGTAGGGGAGAGGGGAACAGAGAGAGAGAGAGAGAGGTCTACCATCTATGGGTTCACTCCCCAAATGGGCCAGGACTAGGCCAGACCAAATTCAGGAGCCAGGAGCTTCTTCTGGGTCTCCCACATGGGTGCAGGAGCCCAAGCACTTGGGCCATCTTCCATTGCTTTCCCAGGCACATTAGCAGGGAGCAAGATCTGAAGTGGAGCAGCTGGGACTTGAACCAGTGTCCATATGGGATGTCCACATTGCAGGCAGCGGCTTTACTCACTGTGCCACAATGCCAGCCCCTATTTTTACTCTAAAAATAGTTTCAGGGGTAGGCATTTAGCTTAGTGTTTATGATTCCTATGTCCCACATTAAGAGTACCTGGCTTTAATTCCCAGCTCCAGCTCCAGACTCCAGAATCCTGCTAATGCAGACTTTGGAAGGCAGCAGGTGATGGCTCAAGTGATTAAGTCCCTGTTACCCACCATTGGAGACTTGGATTTAGTTCCCAGCTCTTGGCTTTGGCCTGGTCTGCTCCCAGCCGTTACAGGCATTCTTCAGTGAACCAGGGGATGGGAGCTATGTGTGTGTGTATATATATACCTCTCAGATAAACAAATAACACCTTAAAATTTTTTTCATTGTAGCACAGTGGGTTAAGCCGCCTGAGACGCCAACATCCCATATGGGTGCTCGTTCAAGTCCTGGCTGCTGGATTTTCTAGTTTTACTTTTGATCTAGCTCCCTGCTAATGCACCTGGGAAAGCAGCAGAAAATGACCCAAGTAGTTGAGTCCCTGCCACCCACGGAGGAGTCACAAATGAAGCTCCTGGCTCCTGGCTTCAGCCTAGCCCAACCCAGGGCATTGCAGTCATTTGGGAGAGTAAATCCACAGATGGAAGACCTCTCTCTCTCTCTCTTTCTCTCTCTCTCTCTCTCTCTCTCTCTGTCTCTCTCTCTGTATGTGTGTGTGTGTGTGTGAGTCCCTCTCTATAACTCTTTCAAATAAAATACATAAATATTTAAAAATTTTTTTTCTTGCAGAGTCGGGGCTACTCTGCACCCAGTCCATCTTCTTGCTAATGCATCCTGGGAGGCAGCAGTAATGGCCCAAATGCTTGGGCCCCTACAACTCACTTAAGACACCCAGATGGAGTTACAGGCTCCTGGCTTCAACCTGGCCCAGCCCTGGACACTCCCAAATGCCTGTGATGGCTAAAACTGGGCCAGGCCAAAACCAGGAGCTGAGCATTCCTCCCACGTTTCCCGCCTGGCTGGCAGGAACCCAGTTACTTTTGCAGTCATCACTGCCTCCCAGAGTCTGCAGGCATTTGGGAATGAACCAGCAGATAACTTCTCTGTCTCACTCTCTCTGCCCCACTGTCCTCCCTCTGTCACTCTGCCTTTCAAGTAGATGAAAAAATAAATAAGGAGTAAAGATTTAAAATGTTTAAACATTTGGCATGTTTAAGGGGAAGGCTGGCCTAATAAGTAAAAAGAACAAAGATTTTACAGTTAGACTTGGGTATCACAAGTGTTTCCCTTTCCAAAGTCATCTCTGAGCCTCTCAGTTCCCCTCTTGGGAAAATCACTCCTACCTGTGAGGTTGTTGGAATCCCCTGGCATCAATACATGAAGTGACCTAGCTTAGAGTCTGGTGCATTGTGTGTACTCAAGGAGTAGCTTCCTGTCTATAGGTGGCAAAGGCAAGTGAACAGTGACGTGTTGCTTTCAGAATAACTTCACAAGATTAGCAATGATTGAGAATAGAATAAGCGCCGTGAAAATGAGTTACCTTCAGAGTTAAGAAGAGAACGTAATGGTATAAGGTGTTTTGGTTAGCTTTACTGCCCATGGGTAGATCCATCTTCGGAAGCTGGATGTAACTGTGTGTGTGATGCCACTCTGCAAGTACAATGAAAATATTCTCATTCTCAAACGTTCCACAGCAGTCGTTCTCCCCTCTTGATAGTGTTCGAGTTGCTTGGCCTGCTGACAGGTCACCCAGCCCATAGGGGAGTCTGAGGAAGCAGGGCAGCTGCTCTCCAAAGCCAACGGTCTTTACAGACTTGAGAGCAGGTATACCAGTGTCTGTGGCCGTTTAGAAATAAAACAAAAACTGACTTTGTTCCTTCTTATTTATTTATTTATTTATTTGACATATAGAGTTAGACAGTGAGAGAGAGAAAGAGACAGAGAGAAAGGTCTTCTCTCCATTGGTTCACCCCCCAAATGGCCGCTACAGCCAGAGCTACACCAATCCAAAGCCAGGGGCCAGGTGCTTCCTCCTGGTCTCCCACGCGGGTGCAGGGCCCAAGGACTTGGGCCATCCTCCACTGCTTTCCCGGGCCACAGCAGAGAGCTGGACTGGAAGAGGAGCAACCGGGACTAGAACCCAGCACCCATATGGGATGCCAGCGTTGCCATGGCGCTGGCCCTGTTCCTTCTAAATTTTCTTTAAAGTCTGTACAAGACACTTCAAAGGGTTTATGGGAAATTGAATCAAAAGATAAGTTTTTTGGTTTGATGCAAAAAAAAAAAAATGAGATACATAGTTTTTTTCTAAACCCTCATTTATATGAGCAGTCTTCAAAAAGTTCATGGAAAATTAGTATTTCTATTTCTCTCATTCAAATGTAACAGGCTGCTTAAGGAATTGATTGCAGGGGCTGGCATTGTGGCAGAATGGATGAAGCTGCTGCCTGCAGCGCCAGTGTTCCACGTGAGCACCAATTTGTGTCCCGGCTGCTCCACTCTGATCCAGTTCCCTCCTAATGGCAGTGGAAAATGGCCCAAGTGTTTAGGACTGTGCCATTCATGTGGGAGACCTGGATGAAGCTACTGGCTCTTAGCATTGGCCTGGCCCTACTCTAGATGCTGTAGCCATCTGAGGAATGAACCAGCAGATGGAACATCTCCCTCTCTCTGTCTCTCCCCATCTCTCTTTCAAATAAACTAATTTTTTAAAATGACTGCATCCTCAATCTTACTGCAGGAGAAGTGCTCTGGGAGAATGATATATCTCTATAAGAAACAAAAATCAATCCTAGTGGTACTTTCTTCTAAAATTAATTTAAAGCCATATGTAGGGGAGAGTGTTTGGCCTGCTTGTTATGATGCCCACACCCACATCTGAGGGGTGGTATACAGATCTTCGTGAAGACTCTGACCAGCAAGACCATCAGCCTGGAGGTGGAGTCCAGCGACACCATCAAGAATGTCAAGGCGAAGGTCCAGGATGAGGAAGGCTTCCTTCCTGACCAGCAGAAGCTCATCTTTGCAGGCAAGCAGCTGGAAGATGGCCACACTCTCTCTGTTTACAGTGTCTAGACAGAGTCCACCCTGCACCTGGTCCTGCACCTGAGGGGTGGCTGTTAATTCTTTAGTCTTGCCAATCAGAACGCCTGATGGCATTACTCTGCATATAGCCATTTGCCCTAATTTAAGTTTAGAAAATACCAGCTTCAGTAATAGCTAAAGCTGTTCAGAAAGTTAATAAAGGTTTTATTGCATGGTAAAAATAATAGTAATACTACAATAAGATGCCCACACCCCGTATCACTGAGCCTGAATTCGGTTCTGGCTCCTGACTCCAGGAGCTCCAGAGTCTTCCTAATGCAGATCCCAGGAGGCAGCAGGTGATGGCTCAAGGGATTAGGTCCTTGCCACTCACATAGGAGACTTGGATGAAGTTCCTGGCTCCTGGCTTTGGTCTGGCCCAGGCCCGGCCATTGGGAACACCTGAAGAATAAATCATCAGGGGGGAACTCTCTTTGTCTGTCTGTCTCTGTTTCTCTCCATCTCTCAAATAAATAAACAAAAATAATTAATTTAAACAGGGGCCGGCGCTGTGGTGCAGGGGGTTAATGCCCTGGCCTGAAGCGCCAGCATCCCTATGGTCGCCGGTTCTAGTCCCGGCTGCTCCATTTCCGATCCAGCTCTCTGCTATGGCCTGGGAATGCAGTGGAAGATGGCCCAAGTCCTTGGGCTCCTGCACCCGAGTGGGAGACCCAGAAGAAGCTCCTGGCTCCTGGCTTCGGATCAGTGCAGCTCCGGCCATTGTGGCCATCTGGGGAGTGAACCAGCGGGTGGAAGACCTCTCTCTCTGTCTCTACCTCTCTCTGTAACTCTCTTTCAAATAAATAAAATAAATCTTTAAAAAATTAATTTAAACAGTGAAGGTACTTTTAAAAAATCATATATGTAACAAATAACTAATATAGGTAAACTAATACATTATTTTATCTGCTAATCTGCTTTTAAAGAACTAAAGACTCATGTGATTTTTAATTTTTTTTAAAATGAAATCTCTAATTCCTTTTTTTTTTTTACAGACAGAGTGAGAGAGAGAAAGGTCTTCCTTTGCCATTGGTTCACCCTCCAATGGCCGCCGAGGCCGGAGCTACACCAATCCAAAGCCAGGAGCCAGGTGCTTCTCCTGGTCTCCCATGGGGTGCAGGGCCCAAGCACTCGGGCCATCCTCCACTGCCTTCCCGGGCCACAGCAGAGAGCTGGCCTGGAAGAGGGGCAACCGGGACAGAATCCAGCACCCCGACCGGGACTAGAACCCGGTGTGCCAACACCGCAAAGCGGAGGATTAGCCTGTTGAGCCGAGGCGCCGGCCCTTTTTATTCTTAAATAAATTAAGATTATACCATTGAATTGCATTTTAAGTTAGACATCAGGGCAGGACGTGATGAGGTAGGGTAATAGGATGTGAGCCATCCGGCGAGGCCATCCCAGAGCTCTGACAGGCCATTGGGAACAGCACCAGATGTGGAAGCTCAAGTTCTCTGAGACCAGACTGTACCCTTACCTTTCATACCAGCTGCACTAACAGCTTTGATCTCCCCAGAGATTTTCTTCTGATGACATGCAACACCTAGTATTTATGGATTCTTTGTTGGGCAGAGTCTAAACTCTTTTGCAACCTAGCCTCAACCTACTTTTTCAGCTTCTCAGGTTCATTTACTTTCCTACCCCTCCCTTCCCCACCCGAGGCTACCACAAGTGTCTTTACTATCAAAGTACATCCTGTAGTTATTCCTTAACCTTTGCTACCCCACCCAATTGTTATTTGAAATTCTATTACTCCTTTAAGGTACAGCTCAGTTTAAGATTTTTATAATCTAAGTAAAATCTCCTAAGTATTTTATCTATTCAGAGCAGATGAACTGGTTTCAAATCCTGATTCCACAGTTTTTTATTACCTATGTGTTCTTGAGGAAAGTAGTTAACCTCTCTGGGCTAAGTTCAATGCTTCAACTGCAGAATAGGTATAACAAGAGCTCCTATTTCCTAGATATGTTCTAAGGATTAAATAAACTACTACATATACATTACTACATGGATAGCACTTACAATAGTGCCTGAAACAACATTTGTGACCTATGAGATGACTGCTAAAATTATTACTAATGTTCATTTACTGCAGCATTTTTTTTTTCTGATAGGAAGAGTGGACAGTGAGAGAGAGAGACAGAAAGAAAGGTCCTCCTTTTTCCATTGGTTCACCCAACAATGGCCACTGCGGCCGGCACACGGCGCTGAGCCAAAGCCAGGAGCCAGGTGCTTCCTCCTGGTCTCCCATGCGTGCAGGGGCCAAGCACTTGGGCCATCCTCCATTGCCTTCCCGGGCCACAGCAGAGAGCTGGAATGGAAGGGGAGCAACCAGGACAGAATCCGGCGCCCTGACCAAGACTAGAACCCGGGGTTTCGGCGCCGCAGGCGGAGGATTAGCCTATTGAGCCACAGCGCCAGCCTACTGCAGCATCTTAACTCTCTAAATGACATGCATGGCTGTAGACAGCCTAACTAGAAAATTTCCAAATAGGATTGATATCTGTTTAATTTGCTATTCTATATTCAGCATTTAACACTGTGCCTGCCACAAATAATTCATTTTAAGATTTTTCTCCTTATATATTCTTAAGATTTATTTATTTATTTACTTATTTATTTGAAAGAGTTACAGAGAGCATTGTGGCATGGCAGGTAAAGCTGCTGCTTGCAACACCAGCATGCTATATGGACACCAGTCATGTCTTGGCTGCTCTGCTTCTGATCCACCTTCCTATTGATGGCCTGGGAAAAGCAACAGAAGATGGCTCAAGTGTTTGGTCCCTTACCACCCATGTGGGAGACCCTGGCTCAGCCCTAGCTATTACGGTCACCTGGGGACTAAAATAGCAGATGGAAGATTCTCTCTCTCTCTCTCTCCCTCTCTGTAACTCTGAATTTCAAATAAATAAATCTTAAAAAATAAATAAATTGGCAAGTTGATCCTAAAATTCATATGTAAAGAACCCAGAATAGTTAAAAACAATATTTTTAAAAAGAACAAGATTGGAGGAGTTACGCTTCCCAATTTCAAAACTCATTACAAATACCCAGTAATCAAGCAGTGTGGTACTAGCAGAAAATTACATGGATTGCTGGAATAAAAGTGAAAGTTCAGAAATAAACCTTTATATTAATAGGCAAATTGATCTTTGACAGGATGCCAAGATAGTTCAATGGGGGAAAGAATAATCTATTCAACAAATGGTGCTGGGACTTCTGGATATATGCATGCAAAAGGATACATTTGGACTTCACACTATGCACAAAATTAACATAAAAGAGATTATAGACCAAAATGTAAGAGCTAAAACTATAAAACTCTTGGAAGATAATATGGGAGTAAATCTTCATGACTTTAATTTGGTCAATGATTTCTTAGCTATGACACCAAAAGCATGATGAAAAAAATAAATAATAGGTAAATAAGACCACCTCAAAATTAAAATATAATTGGGGAAGACATCTGGCATAGGAGTTAAGACACTGCTTGGGATGTTGTTATTCCGTATCAGAGTGGCTGGGTTCAAGTCTCTGTTCCACTTCCAATTCCAGCTTCCTGCTAATGAACACCCTGGGAGGCAGTAAGTGATGGCCCAAGTACTTGGGTCCCTGCCACCCACATGGGAAACCCAGGCTGAATTCTAGGTTCCAGGCTCCAAGCTTAGCCTAACTTGGCTACAGCTCTTGCAAACATCTAGGGAGTGAACCAGCAGATCAAAGGTCTCTGTTTTCCTCTGTTTCAGTCTCTCTGTCTCTCTCTCTCTCTCTCTGCCTTTCAAATAAGTATTTTTTAAAAATAAAATATAAGGGCCCACATTGTGGCACAGCGGGTTAAGCTGCCAATTGCGATGCCCACATCCCACATCAGAGTGCTGCTTTGAGCCCTGGCTGCTGCACTTCCAAGCCAGCTGATAATGGTTCAAGTACTTGAGTCCCTGCCACCCATGTGGAAGACCAGCTTCCTAGCTTTTGGCTGATGGGGATATTTGGGAAGTGAACCAGTGGGTGAAAGATTGATCTCTCTCTGTCTCTCTGTCTCCCTCTCTCTGTGTCACTTTGCCTCTCAAATAAATAAATAAATCTGCAAACATATATAGCAATTAGTAACACTACTATTAATAGGAATAAATAATAAAATAGACTGCAAATGAAGCATCAAGAAAATGAAAAACAACATACAGAAGAAAATGTTTACATATGTATATGACTTGCATACAGAATATATACACATCTTGCAACTTAATAATAAAAAAACACAACCTAAAGTGAAAAGCAAAAGATTTGAATAAACATTTCCCCAAGAAAGATCCACAAATGGCCCATTAGCATTTGAAAAGATATTCAACACCATTAATCATTAGACAATGAAAATCAAAACCACAGCAAGAAAACACTGCACAACAACTCGGCTGGCTAAAATAAAAAAAACAATAATAATAAGTCATGGGGAGAACAAAGAGAAATCGGAGCCCTCGTGGATTGCTGGTTGGAATGTAAAAAGGTATAGTGACTTTGGAAAAAAACCTTAGCAGCTTCTCAAAAATTAAACGTGGAATTACAGTGTAACCCAAAATTCTAGGTCTATGCCCCAGAGAACTAAAAACATACATCCATACAAAAATGTGTACATGAACGTTCATAGCAGCATTATTCCCAATAGCCAAAAAGCAGAAACAAGCCCAAAGTGCAGCAACTGATGCCCATACACTGGATTATCACACAGCAATAAGAAGAAATGCAGTATTGGTGCTCCTCATGGATGAACCGTAAGACACTGTGCCAAGTGAATAAAGCCAGACACAACAGTCATGTAGTGTACGATTCTGTTTATGTGAATGTCTGGAAAAGGCAAATCCATAGGAACGGAAAGTAGATTAATGGTTACCAAGGGCTGGCAGAGTTGGGTGTGGGAGAGGCTGTGGAGTGATTGCCGATGGATAGAATATGTCCTTCAAGATGGTCATGGCGTTTACTGCACCAAGTGGAAATATACTAAAGCCAATAAATAGTATGGTTTAAGTGTGTGAATTTTAGAGTATGTGAATTATATCTCAAAAAAGACATACATTTTTAATAAAAAATTGATAAGGAAAAAATTCTCTCCTTTACCTAGGCAGACTCAGCTAAAGAGGACAAAAGAATAAAAATCAACAGCTTTATGTAAACACCAAGGGAAGCCTTAAGACCACACTACTTGCTGACATGGAGAATCCAGACGTGGAATCGGCTTCATTTATAAAAAGAACACAGACTATAGGGGCTGGGGAATGTGTGGGAAGCATTGCAGGGAAGGAGCCCTTCACAAGAAGAAGAAACAAAATTTCTCCCCTTTCCCATTCAGCAATTTTACCGAGCAAAAGCACTCAAAGTTACAAAGCTCACTCCACTCAGTGATGTAATGGGTCATGTAGCTGATCCACTTATTCCTGGGAAAAGCAGCACCTGTAGGCCGGGCCCTGAAGAATCCCTCCTGGCTGTAAACAGCTCAGCTGGTTCACAGGCAGTAGCCACATCTATTATTTCTCTTCTATCCCTTGTTGATAGATGTTGAGGGCTGCTGATTGCAGTCCCATTTTGGAGGTGGTCTCCTGGGCTGAGTTATTTCCAGCGACTCCGTGTTTCTTCAGTTCCCTGTGGGCTTGGGGAAGGGGAGAGTTGAAGACTCTGCAGCGGTAGCTGCTGTTTGACAGCTGCCAAGGAGCAGCTCCAAGAACAGCTGTTCCCGCGATGGGACGGACCTAATGGGAGACCACGAATTGCATCTCTTCCAGAATGGGGTTTGAAATATGAATTGGAGAAAGAACCAGAATGATGTAGTCTCACTTGGCTCCCCGCCCCTGATGGAGCTGAGCTGGAAACATAATGGAAAGGGATTAGCAGGATTTCCATAGAAGTCAGTACAGCCCGGCTGTGCACTGTGCACCAAAAATAGAGGGATAAAGGAAAAGACCTAAAACAAAGCAAAGCACAACAAAACACACCACTCAACTTGAAGTTATGTAAACCCGCCAGCCAGAAACACTTCCTACGCTGTGTGTATAAACTAGATTCACTGAAATAAACTCTCTGCCTTTGAGATGCTGGTCTTAATAATTTAAAAAACCAAAAACTTACTAAGACAGTACTGTGAAGTGCTTGGTTCTGTTGCAAAAACATCCTACTCTGGGAAAATAGGCTGGGAGCAGTTTGAGGCGCCTGTCCTTGTTTCCGGTAAAATGAAATACACCAGTGGAATTCACGAAGTTCCTGGAAATGCGTATTATGGAAAAAACTATACCTGGATTTCAAACATTGTTATAACAAAATTAATTTACCTCTTAATTCCATTTTTCCACCCTCATATGATCAAGACTTAGGTGGGCTGGCACTGTGGCGCAACGGTTTAACGCCCTGGCCTGAAGCACCGGCATCCCATATGGGCACTGGTTCTAGTCCCAGCTGCTCCACTTCTGATCCAGCTCTCTGCTATGGCCTGGAAGAGCAGTAGAAGATGGCCCAAGTCCTTGGGCCCCTACCACCCATGTGGGAGAGCAGGATGGAACTGAGTTTCTGGCTCCTGACTTCAGCCTGATCCAGTCCTGTCTATTGCAGCTGTTTGGAGTATGAGTCAGTAGATGGAAGATCCCTCTCTCTCTCTTTCTCCCCCTGCCCCATTCCCTAACACTCCACCTTTCAAATAAAATAAATAATATTATAAAAAGATTTTAAGGAGATGGAAATGCTAATTACTGTGATTTGATCAGTATGTTACATAAATGTCTTGATTTATCACATTATGTACAATAAATATTAACAAAAAATAAATATACACAATAAATATTATTAACGTGTACAATTATACATTAATCAAAAAATGTCACTCATATCAAAGAATTAGTTAAAATAGTTTTAAAAGATTTATTTATTTATTTGAAAGAGCCACGGAGTGGGAGAGAAAAAGACAGAGATCTCATGGCCTGGGAAAGCAGTGGAAGATGGCCCAAGTGCTTAGGCTCCTGCACCTGTGTGGGAGATCTGGAAGAAGCTCCTGGCTCCAGGCTTCGGACTGGCCCAGCTCCAACCATTGCAGCCATCTGGGGAGTGAACAAGTGGATGGAAGACCTCTCTGTCTCTCCCTCTCTCTTTCTGTAACTCTTCCTCTCAAATAAATAAATAAAAATCTTAAAAAAAAAAAAAAAGAAAAGAAGCAGGAAAGAATAAAAGTGAATTGTCGTCTATCCTCTCTCACACCTGCTGCAAGGTTTGGGGGCTGAGGGCTCCACACAGAGGAAAGGCTGCAGCCAGATCTAAGTCTATAAACATTTCCGCTGGGGGCTGATTGTGACAGCAGCAGGGCAATGGAGAGAAAGCTGAACACTGGGTCCGGTGATGGTATTCAAGCTCAGCTCCACCATGGAGTAATGTGGTGACCTTGGAAGGCTTGCAAAGTAAGGATAATATTAGCTTAACCAGCTGGGTTGTAAAAACTAAGTGAGATCTATTTACAAAAGAACTTGTGAATTACAAAGGGTTACATAGATACATTTTGCTGAACAGTAGGATAGTTCTGGGGCTATCCTAGTTTACAGGAGTGGAAAACGGTTCTAATTGTGAGAATCTCCTAATCTGATAGGGTAAATAAAGTTTACAAACCTGAGGATCCTTTAGGATAGCACAGGGTTGCACAGGGATGGAGGCAAGCTTTCATCTTGTCCATTGCAGATGACTCAGGGACGGCTAGGTGTGTCTGGCTCCCTTCGAGGGTGAGGAAGTTTATTGGAAGGACAGTCGGGTGTCTCATTTAAGAGATTTTCGTTGGGAAGAATATGAAGATCAGCGGGACAGGCTTCACCAAGAGTTGCCTGACCATCAGAAGGAGCGTGGTCATTGTTACTCAGATGCAACACCGTCTCAACGCTTAGCTGAAGATCCAGGCCCATAAAAAAGTCTTATGGAGACATTGAAAGAGCTGCCTCTGTAATACACAGGGACTCAAACAACAGCACATTCTGAATAACACCAAAAATAATGGGAAACATCCCCCACTCTGCCACAGACCCTGCATTCCTTAGACACCCAGAGGCTCCTGATGGGGCAGGGTGGAAAACCCAGAGAGAACCCAGGAGAAGGAGCCATCATACGACGCCAGCCTCCAGAGCTGTCAACACCCAGCCAGCACTGTTCCCTGCAGAGCAGCGACAGTCCCTAGCAGAGGCTGCCAGGCCAGACAGCACCGTGAGAGCAGTATTCACAGAACCACTCAGAGCAGTGGCAGCTCTTGAAAGAGCACTGTGCGTATTTTGGGAATCCAGGGTGTTAGATAGGGGCTGGTGTTGCATTAAGCAGCAACACCAACCTCCCATATCTAAGCGCCAATGTAAGTCCTGGCTACCCCGTTTCCGATCCAGCTCCCCACTAATGTGTCTGGGAAGGCAAAAGAACGTGGCCCGAGTGCTTGGGAGTTTTGGGCTCCCGGCTTCAGTCCTGGCCCAGTCCTGCCTGTTGTGGCCATTTGGGGAGTGAACCAGCAAATCAAAGAGCTCGCTCCCTCCCTCTCTTTCTGTAACTAACGTTTAAATACATACCATACATACGTACATACATACATACATACATACATACAGAAGGAGGCTCCTATGTTGGCAAGTAGACCCTGAAAAGTTCACTTAATGCAGAGTCCTCTCAGATAATAATAAGGCAGGTAGACTGAAATCATTGACTTCAGAGAGGAGGAGGTAGCTGCTCCTTAAAGTTCATCACCTGGGGCCGACTTTGTGGCATAGTAGATAAAGCTGCCACCTGTGAACTGGCACCTCGCATGGGCAACAGTTCGTGTCCCGGCTGCTCCACTTCCGATCCAGCTCCCTGCTAGTAGCATGGGAAAGGCAGCGAAGGATGACTCAGGTGTTTGGGTCCCTGCCACCCAAGTGGGAAGCTCCTGGTTCCTGGCTTTGGCCAGGCCCAGCCCTGGCTATTGAAGTCATCTGTAGAGTAAACCAGTGGATGGAAGATCTGTGTGTGTGTGTGCATGTGTGTGTGTGTGTCTGTGTGTCTCCGTCTCTCCCTCTCTCTATAACTCTGACTTTCAAATAAATAAATACATCTTAAAAAAATTGCTCTCTTGGGAGCAGGTGTTTGATGTAGCAATTAAGACACTACTTGGGAGGCTGGCGCTGTGGTGTAGCAGGTAAACTGCTGCCTGCAGTGCCAGCATCCCATATGGGCACCGGTTAGAATCCTGGCTGCTCCACTTCCGATCCAGCTCTCTGGTATGGCCTGGGAAAGCAGTAGAGGATGGTCCAAGTCCTTAGGCTCCTGCACCCATGTGGGAGGCCCAGAAGAAGCTCCTGACTCCTGGCTTCAGATTGCTCAACTCTGGCTGTTGCAGCCATCTGGGGAGTGAACCAGCAGATGTAAGACCTCTCTCTTTCTCTGCCTCTGCATCTCTAAACTCTGACTTTCATAAACTCATAACTCTTTTGTTTCATAAAACATCTTCCATGAATTTTTAAAAAAGATTTTATTTATGTATATATGTATTTCAAAGGCAAAGTGACATGGGGCTAGGTTAAGCCGCTGCCTACAATGCCAACATCCCATATGAGCGCCGGTTTGAGTCCTAGATGCTCCACTTTCAGTCCATCTCCCTGCTAATGTGTGTGGAAAAGCAGTAGAAGATAGCCCAAATACTTGGGTCCCTGCAACCCGTGTGGAAGACCCAGATGAATCTCCTGGCTCCTGGCTTCTGTCTGACCCACCACCAACCATTTCAGTTATTTGGGAAGTAAGCCAGCAGGTGAAAGATCTCACTCTCTCACTCTCCCTTTCTCTCCCTCTCTCTTGTCTCTGTGCCTTTCAAATAAATTAATTAATTAAAAAAAAAAAAAAAGAAAGGCAGAGTGATATGAAGAGAAAGACATTACCAAATGTCTACAATGGTCAGGCTGGGCAAGGCCAAAGCTAGAAGCCAGGAACTCAGTGTAGGTCTCCCATATGGGTGGCAGGTACTCAAGTACTTGAGCCATCATCTGCTGCCTCCAGGGTATATCGATGGAGAACTCAGTAGGAAGTGGAGTAGCCAGGACTCCAGTCAGCACTCCATTATAGGATGTGAGCACTGCAAGCGGTGGTTTAACCCTTTGTATCACACGCCCATCCTCCATGAGTTTTTAGAAGACCTTTACTATATGTCTTATTGGTTCTATTTTTTCGGAAAAACACATTTATCGGTCATGTGTAAGTGTCCAAAGATGCCTCTTACTCCACAGGTTTTAGAGAAAATGTCCAACTATTAATTCCCTAATATTCAGAAGTGACAACAGAGCTTAAAAAGAGCTTTATAACAACACTGTTACAGGCACTAAACTGACAGCAAGTCTCCCTGGCGGGTCATTCTTGCAATTTGCCTATACCCAGAGCAGCTGCAGCTTCTGCTTTTTGCCCAAGAAAGCTTTCTCTGTGTTCTGCCTCACTCCAGGGACAGCGTATTCTTGGCTCTTCCCCTGGTGAATGGGTTGTTTAGTCCCTTGGGCCACCCAAGAAAAGTAAGAAACGGGTGGTAGCTGTGGACACAACAGAACTAGTTCAGATGTAACCTGTGCCCACTGAAGATTCTTCCCAAAGATGGTTATCAGAGTTGCTTAGGGAACCCTAGAGAAGTAAGTTTTAAGTAGCCTGGTGGTTGCCATAGGCAACATTGTCTTCCCTAAAAACAAGTGACAGGTGCTCTCTGCGTCTTTAATATATCAGGGATTATGGTATGGGGGTAGGGAGAAAAACTGACTATTCCTAATTCTGGATTTATTTTAAAGATGACTACCCAATGAACTGGAAGCTGAACCTCCTTCCAGATTTTCTAGATTGGAAAATATTCCATTCTCCTGTTTTTGGGAAAAGACATCACTAGCCATCTAAGTGACAAATACAACAAATGAAACTTAGGCAAAGGTTTTCAGGCCTGGGGTGGAGAGCATCGTGTTGCAGAGGGTAAGCCATCATTTGGGACGTCTGCCTCCCATATCAGAGTGCCTGGTTCCAGTCCCTGATGCTCTGCTTCCAGTGCAGCTTCCTGCTAACAATGCACCTGAGAGGCAGCAGAGGCTGCCTCAAGTGCTTGGGGCCCTGCATTATGGAGGGAGTTGGTTCCTGGCTCCGGCTTCAGCCCGGCTTAGTCCCAGCTATTTGGGGAGTCAGTCAGTGGATGGGAGATCTCTTCTGTCTCCCTGTCTGTCCTCCTCTCTCTGTTGTTTTTTTTAACAAAAAGTGAGATTTAATTTTGGAGAAAAGTAATTAAAAATGAAGCTTTTCCAATAAAGGGGAGAAATGAGACCAAACCCTAGTTACATGTTAATTGTCACATTCTGTGCAATATGGATGTGTTCAGCATGCATTCAATGATAATATCAATAATGAATTTTTCAATTTAAAAATCTCAAACCACTGACAATGTTGCAAATTCAGAAATGTTGAAATAAATACCCATAAAATAAGTATATTTTGAAACCTGAAGTCTTACCAGTGTTTATAGATCAAACCATCACACACAAACAGTACTGCAAATAAACTGATGTTACTGCTAGTTTCCACTTAATTTCTTCATAATATGGCTGTCTGGTGTTGCATTAGTGAAAACACTTCCTACAACTACATGGGTGCCCCAGAGACTATGAGGAATCACTTAAA